CCCCCAGCCTGGCAAACATGGTGAAACCCCACCTTTATTAAAAATACAAAAATTAGCCAGGCATAGTGGCGCATGCCTGTAATCTCAGCTACTTGGGAAGCCAAGGCAGGAGAATCACTTGAACCGGGGAGGTGGAGGTTCAGTGAGCTGAGATCACACCATTGCACTCTAGCCTGGGCAACAGAGTGAGACTCTGTTTCAAAAAAAAAAAAAAAAAAAAGTGAGTGAGGGACAGCTTCCTCAACAATATGGAGAAAGTAGAATTTATGTGAGCTGAGTAAAAATAGAGTGTCGTTGATAGGAAGCCGAGTTGTGGTTTTTAATCCAGAATATAGATAAATCAACTCAGCTAAAATTCAGGCCTTAAACTCAACTTGGTTTGTGAATCTAGACAACTTTTGAAGTTATCAACATGAGTTTTGAGAGCTTCACAATGTAATGGCGTAGACGTTTGTATCTTCCTCTTCTCTTTGAACTCCAATTTAGAAGAATCAAGTTACCCTGAATTGCTTAATGAGATAAAAATAGAAAATAGAGATTACCTAGTCACCTAGTTTTTATAGTGTTTTCTTCTTTCAATCCCATTTAGAATCAAAGGATTACAGGATCAGGTGCAGTGGCTCACGCCTGTAATCCCAACACTTTGGGAGGCCGAGGTGGGCAGATCACCCGAGGTCAGGAGTTTGAGACCAACTTGGCCATCATGGTGAAACCCCGTCTCTACTAAAACTACAAAAATTAGCCGGGCAGGGTAGCACGTGCCTGCAATCCCAACTACTTGGGAGGCTGAGGCAGGAGAATCCCTTGAACCCAAGAGGCGGAGGTTGCAGTGAGCTGAGATCATGTCATTGCATTCCAGCCTGGGCAATGGAGTGAGACTCTGTCTCAAAAAAAAAAACCACCAAGAATCAAAGGATTACAAAACTATTGTGATGCTGTTTATGATTTGAAACAAAAAAATGTATGCAGTGTCTAGAGTGGGAATTTAAATTAGAACAACTTCTTTGGGTAGCAAAATATCGAAGTGTATCAGATGACAAAGATGTTTCTGCTTAGCCATCCAGTATTTTACTTTTTTTTTTTTTTGATACAGAGTCTTGCTCTGTCGCCCAGGCCAGAGTGCAATGGTGCAGTCTCGGCTCACTGCAACCTCTGACTCCTAGATTCAAATGATTCTCCTGCCTCAGCCTCCCAAACAGCTGGGATTATAGGCGCCTGCCACCATGCCCAGCTAATTTTTGTATTTTTAGTAGAGACGGGGTTTCACCATGTTGGCCAGGCTTGTCTCAAACGCCTGACCTCATGATCCACCTCCTTCGGCCTCCCAAAGTGCTGGGATTGCAAGCGTGAGCCACCATGCCTAGCCGTATTTTACTTCTTATTATCTTACGGAAGTAAATCAAAATGTGGGGAAACTTTATGCAAGATTACGTTTATAGAGAAAAATTGTTAGAATCACAGATGTTTAAAATGAAGAGAAGGGTTGAATTAGCACTGACAATCAATGGAATGTTGATCAGTCATTAAAAATAACATTGTAATACCAAACAGCTAATGTGAAATAACTGTAAGTGATAAAATACAAAATTTAAAAAAAAAGTGTGATCAGCCATATTAAAGAAACATAACCTGTTCATAGGGGAAAAAAAGTCCAAAAGGAAAATTTTAAAAGTAGTTTTTGTTGAGTGACAGGAAATTGCCTGATGTCCTGTCTGCATCTACATTTTGCAGTCTCCAAATTCGTAATAGTAAAGAAAGTTATTATAACAGTGGCTCGCATTTGTTGACCGGTAGTTCTGTGCCAGGCACTGTACACCCTTATGTTATTTATTCCTTTTGTGGCATTTGGAAACGTGAGCTGTCACAAGCCCATTTTACTGGCAGCGCAATTGAGGATCAAGAGCTCATAGAATTTGTCCCAGGTCAGGAAGCTTGTCAGTGGCAAATTCCGATTAGCAGTTCAATTCCGGACCTACATCTTAACTATTATACATGCAAAACATGTAAAGAGCATTAAAGAGATATATAGCATGTATAGAAAATAGAGGTTATCTAGTCACCTAGTTTTTATAGTGTTTTCTTCTTCTTCTTCTTCTTCTTTTTTTTTTTTTTTTTTGAGACGGAGTCTCTCTCTTGTTGCCCAGCCTGGAATGCAATGGCATGATCTTGGCTCACTACAAACTCCATCTCTTGGGTTCAAGAGATTCTCTTGCCTTAACCTCCCAAATAGCTGGGACTACAGGCACCCACCACCACACCCCACCAATTTTTGTATTTTTAGTAGAGACTGGATTTCTCTATGTTGGCCAGGCTGGTCTCGAACTCCTGACCTCAGGTATCCACCCACCTCAGCCTCCCAAAGTGCTGGGATTACAGGTGTGAGCCATTGCTCCTGACTGTGTTTTCTTCTTTTGATGCAAAACATGTAATGAGCATTAAAGAGATATGCAGCATGTATTCAGGTATTCAGGGTTCGGTTAGTGGAATATTGAATTAGTAGCTTGGGGACATTATTTTTGGATCTGTTCCTGGCTCACTCTGTGATTAAAATTAGGTCAGTTTGCTTTTGGTGTCAGTTTTTCCATCTTTGTAGAAAGGAAAACAGAACCTCCCACTTGCCTGCTTCTTTATGCTTATGAACCTACTTATGCACCTGTAATAAGTTACTCTACAGTGTTATTACCATTAGCTGGAGGACAGTGTGCCTTTGTGAAAAAGTGCGTAGGTTTAAGGATTAGGCAGATCCAGCTGCAAATCATTTGGACACTCAAATTCCCTGAGCCTCATCCCACGCTGGAGTGCAGTGGCACCATCTTGGCTCACTGCAAGCTCTGCCTCCTCCTGGGTTCACGTCATTCTCCTGCCTCAGCCTTCTGAGTAACTGGGATTACAGGTGCCTGCCACCATGCCCAGCTAATTTTTGTATTTTTAGTAGAGATGGGGTTTCATCATGTTGTCCTGAGCCTCAGTTTCTACAACTGTAAAATGGGGCAGTAACGTATATCTTGGGGGTTGCAAGGAGGAATAAATGAGATGCTCCATATGCAGGGAAGGAGAATGGCTCTCCACTCAGTAACTGCTCTTTCCCTGCCCTGTTTCACTGTAGCTTACCTGATCAAACTTTGAGTACAAAAAAATGAGGCCCACGTAAGTTTCCTGTCATTTTTTTGCACATCTTACCAAAATAAACAGATAACTAACCAATAGTGGCAAATCATCAGTACTCAGATCTGGAAAGAAGAAAGCAAAGGAAGCAAAATGGAATGATCCTGGTAGGAACGAGGGCAGAGGGCACTCTTTACAGCGTGCTTTGGACTCATGGAAACTTTTCTGGCGGGTCCAGAAGGAAACAGGTACCCCACAGAGGTGTGGAGGACACATGCTCCCTTAACCTTTCATCCAGTCTTTCAACCTTTAACCAATTCTGGAGACAGCAGCAAGTCCGTTTCCTGACTGGGTTCAGTGATACATCTGAGAAATGTATTGATTTATATGTATCAAGAAATATAAATAGGCTAGGCACGGTGGCTCACGCCTGTAATCCCAACACTTTGGGAGGCTGAGGTGGGTAGGTCACTTGAAGTCAGGAGTTTGAGACCAGACTAGCCAACATGGTGAAACCCCGTCTCTACTAAAAAATACAAAAATTAGCTGGGCGTGGTGGTGCACGCCTGTAATCCCAGCTACCTGGAAGGCTTGAACCCAGGAGGTGGAGGCTGCAGTGAGCCGAGATTGCACCCATGCACTCTAGTGTGGGCAACAGAGTGAGATTCCGTCTCAAAAAAAAAAAAAAGAAAAAAAAGAAAAAATATAAATAAATGTTCTGTTTTTGGTAAAACATATATGTCAGTAGATATGTGTATATTTCAATAATAGATTAAGGCACTATTTATCTGCTATCCACTTTGGTGGATAACTTGGGGACAGGGTTGTCTTTAACAAAGTTGATTGGCAGTAGGTAAGAGTTTGGGAGTGGAAACGAACCCCAGATTGGAGACTGCGTTGTGTTATAGAAGAGAAAGCAGCAACAGCACTCCTTAAAGTCATAGTAGCTGGCATTAGTGAAGATTTACTATGTGCCAGGCTTTATGTCTTCATGTACATCCTCTTTCTCTTGTTAGCATGTTTCTCTTTTCATAATTTTTAAATTGTAGTATATAACATAGACATTTAAAAAACATATAGCTGAGCTTCATGTGTTACTTGAAGGTAACCATTCTTGTCAATACCACCCAAGTCAAGTTTTGACAGTTTTTGCCCCGTGTATTTTGAAGCTATGTTATTAGGCACATAAATAATTAGGATTGCTTTCTCATTATCAAATATTGCAAGAAGTGATGCATGCTAAGATCTGAAGAGTCCCACCTTTGCTATTTCAGTCTCTGACAGTAGAGTTCCTGAAAATGAAGTTTGTTGCTAGAATGGGCCCTCTTTGTGGACACATGAATAATGGTTGCTCGGTCAAGACAGGAAGATAGGATTTCCTGTGGTAGGAAATTCTCCACATCCCTCCTGTCAGTGATGATCCTTCCATATATTCACAGACGGGAGGTGATGTAAAGCTATGACTAAGTAGTTAGACTTTAAATTCAGACAGATCAACCACTTATATGCTGTGTGGCTTGGGCAACTCAACCCCTCTATAAGCTTCCATTTTCTCTTCTTTAGAAAGAACATTATGGCTCAGTGTTTCCTCTACCCATTCCTTCCACCTCGCCCTTCAATAATAAAAAGAGTACTATGGCTACTTTATTGGTATGTGGCTATATGAGGATTAAATAAAAACACCTTGGCAGGGTCCATAACACAATGCTTGGCATACAGTAAGCATCTAATAAATGTTAAATAATACTATGTCATCACTGTCTTGTTGTATTACCTTACCTGAACTGAGGCTCGGTTTAACATATCTTGTATGTATTAATCCCCCTGCCGTGGACCACTGCAGTGAGCAGATACTAACAGACTCTGATTCCATGAGACTTTTTCTTTTCTTACAGGGCAGATGTCCATTGCAGTCACTGTGATGCTGATCATACACAACTATTGGTTCCTTTACATCCCTTATTTGACGTGGCTTTACTTTGACTGGCATACCCCAGAGCAAGGGGGCAGGAGATCCAGCTGGATCAAAAATTGGACTCTTTGGAAACACTTTAAGGACTATTTTCCAATTCATGTGAGTACAACTGTTTTAAAGAGTATTATGTTGAGTTAGGAGAAGAGTGGAAATTTGTTTTCATCACATACATCTCAAGCTTCTTTTTCAGGGGGGGTGTCTTAGTCTGTTTTGTGTTGCTAAAACAGAATACCAAAGACTAGGTAATTTATAAAGAAAACGAATTTCTTTCTCACAGTTGTGGAGGCTGGGAAGGCCAATACCAAAGATGCTGGCATCTGGCAAGAGCCTTCCTGCTGCAACAGCCCACAGTGCAAGGTGGAAGGGCAGGAGAGGCCAAGAAAGAGCAAGAGGGGGTTGAATTCATGCTTTTATAAGGAACTTACTCCCAAGATAGCAAACCCCCTTCTATGATAACAGCATTAATCCATTAACTCTGCTTTCATTCCTAATCACCTCTCATTAGGCCCCACCTCCAACACTGTTGCATTGGGGATTAAGTTTTTAAACACTTACTTTTGAGGGACACATTCAAATCATAGCAGGGAGAAAGGCTGCAATTTGATTCCTATTACTAAATGAACTGTAAACTGACTTGACAAAATCGAGAAGGCTGTATATAAAGGAATGTGGGCTCAGAAGATGGTTCAGAAATTTGGAAACAGCTCCAACCCAGGGAACAAAAATGAGTCATGTTCTCCATTGTCTGTTGACACAAAAACTAATCCTTTTGTTTCTCATTGGAAAATAATCAGGGAATTTTCTTTTTTAAAAAATGTCAATATGAATGTGCCGTAGCTCATCAAAACTCAAGATTTGGATCCAAGTCACAACTATATATTTGGGTTTCACCCCCATGGAATATTGGCGGCTGGAGCCTTTGGAAATTTTTCTACAAATTATTCCGACTTCAAGGAGCTGTTTCCTGGCTTTACTTCATATCTTCACGTGCTGCCACTTTGGTTCTGGTGTCCTGTCTTCCGAGAATATATGATGAGTATTGGTAAGTGATGGCGGATCACTGCTTCCACAGTGCTTTGGGGTAGCAGGAGCACACACAACATTTCTTCTAAGGCCCACATGTGTTTCTGGTCTCTTAGAGTAAAACCTGTTTTATCCTCATCTGGCACTTCCTATGTGGTCTGGGTATTTCCTGCCCTCCCCCACTGGACTGTAAGTGTCAGAAAGACACAAACTGCGTCTTCTTTTCTGTTCCATCCTAAGTATCCAGCATGGTGCCTGGAACATAGAAATGTTCAATGAATATTAACACAATGATCAAATAAAGTAATGAATGCATTTTGTGTATTCAGATGTAGAAGAAGAAATCATGGATCAAGTAAGTGACAAATCATACCCTTGGAGAGGCACCGTGCACGCTGTTACGAATACTAGAAATGGAAAATGTCTGTCGTTGTGTCTTGAAGTACCAGCAGTGATGAAACTAAACATATTCAACTTGCTGTCTTCCTAGATTAAAAATAACTTGGCTCAGAAATAAGAGTCCAGGCCAGGCGCAGTGGCTCACGCCTGTAATCCCAGCACTTTAGGAGGCTGAGGTGGGCAGATCTCTTGAGCCCAGGAGGTTGAGACCAGCCTGGGCCACATGGCAAAACCCTGTCTCTACAAAAAATGCAAAAATTAGCTGGGCATGGTGGCACATATCTGTAGTCCCAGCTACTCAGGAGGCTGAGGTGGAAGGATCACCTGAGCCTGGGAAGTCAAGGCTGCAGTTACTGGAGATGGTGCCCCTGCACTCCAGCCTGGGTGACAGAGTGAGACCCATTACAATTAAAAAAATAAATACAAAGAGACAAGAGCAGTGGCTCATGCCTGTAATCCCAGCACTTTGGGAGGCAGAGGTGGGCTGGAACACTTGAGGTCAGGAGTTCGAGACCAGCCTTGCCAACATAGTGAAACCCGTCTCTACTAAAAGCACAAAAATTAGGGCATGGTAGTAGGCGCCTGTAATCCCAGCTACTCAGGAGGCTGAGGTGGGGGAACTGCTTGAACCCAGTAGGTGGAGGTTGCAGTGAGCCAACGTCGTGCCACTGCACTCTAGCCTGGGTGACAGAGCGAGACTACGTCTCAAAAAAGAAAGAAAGAAAAAAAAGAATTGTTCATGGTTTTCTAGATTTTTATTACATCCTATTAATTTCTCAAGTGATTATTGTCATTATATACCTGGTAGGATATCACTAAGCACCCAAGGACCAGGATTCACGGCTGGATTTTCAGGTTCTGTTTGTTTTCAAAGTCCAGCCTGGTCCACAGGGCACACTAGAGGGCGCACTAAACCCTCCAAGGTATCCCGCATCTGGCCTGCAGAGGGCGCACTATCCCCCTCTTAACCACTAAAGGTTTGGAGGGGGTGGAATTACTTATCTTCCTTGTTTTGTATACATTGTTTTAGAGTTTTATAAAACGAAGAACATTACAGGGAAAAATGTTTAAGTTTCACAAAAGCACAGAAACATATTTAAAGTGTTTGCTTATTCAAAGCATTGCCGCAGGTGAGTTTGAGTCGTATAGTTAAGAGCAGGTTGGGCAAACTCATGGCCCAAGAGATGTGGGTATCCCCTTCTCCATGGCCGTATCAGACGCATATACTCCATCTTAGAGTCTTTCTCCTTATAGTGCCCTTACAGCCACTGCAGTTTACTAGAGCTGGCTTTGGAGAGGAAACCTGTTTGCAATCACCGGTTTCTTTGTTTTTTGTTTGCTTGTTTTGTTTTTGTTTTTGAGACGGAGTTTCGCTCTTGTTGCCCAGGCTGGAGAACAATGGCGTGATCTTGGCTCACGGCAACCTCCACCTCCCAGGTTAGAGTGATTCTCCTGCCTCAGCCTCCCGAGCAGCTGGGATTACAGGCATGCTCCCCCACCCCCAGCTAATTTTGTATTTTTAGCGGAGACGGGGTTTCTCCATGTTGGTCAGGCTGGTCTGGAACTTCCGACCTCAGGTGATCCGCCCGCCTTGGCCTCCCAAAGTGCTGGGATTACAGGCATGAGCCACTGCGCCCCGCAATCACTGGTTTCTGACATCATGAATTATTTTCTGTGGTATAACCTTCATTTCCCTAAAAGGTAAATAGAAATATTCAAACTTTCAGCCAGTGGAGGTTTGGACTATCCTTGTCTCTAAGTCTAGAGAGTTATCTATATACTTCCCAGAACCAGATTCCTAGGACAGCCCTTGGTCCAAGGCTGACCCTCTGGACTGTGCCTGCCCAGGTGGCTGCCTCTCTGGGTGTGAAAGACTGACAGACATAGGCACCAGACCTCATGTAGTAAGGACCTGTAGTGCTTCACAGGGCCTTTGCTGACAGCACTCTGTTTTGCTCTTATGCAAGAGGATTCTGCATCTGTGAGTTCTTTTAAATCCCACCTCCAACCCATTCCTCTTGTCCCATTTTGTGTGTATCTATACCTATCAGGTGTCAGCCAGAGCCAGCTGTGTTTCAGGTTCATGTTCCTTTCTGTTTACCCCTTAAGCCTGGACAGGTAACAGGATCAGATCACAACAGCCATGTATACCATACAGAGAACTTTAGGTTTTATCTTGTAGATAAGCCATGGGGAACTTGGAGGGATTTTGAGCAAAGGAGGGATCTGATGGATTTGGTGTAATAGAAAGATAATTCAGGTAGCAGCTTGGAAAGTAGTTACAGGCAGGTAGACCTGGAGACTGATGATGGAAGGGACCTGTTGGATGATGAAGGGAGAGGTGATAAGGGCTAAGCTAACAGTGGCAATGGCACTGGAGATACAGAAGAGGAGATTAATATCAAAAATATCTGATAGAGTCACTAAGACTTAGTGATTGATTCATCCTCATGAAGGCAGCAACTGTATTTTGTCATTATTATCAACATCTGGCCCTGTACCTGGCCTATAGCAAATGTTCAATAAATGCTTTCAAATGAATGTGGTGGCTAAGAAGGAGAAGGTGGCTACATATGGAAGAAGCTGTGTTTTGACCAGGTAGATGATGGTCCCATTCACCTTGATAAGTAATGTTGGAAGAGGGACCACTTTGAGGGAGAATTTAATGCATTTGGTTTGGAGATGTGTAGTTCGAGGTGTCTTAGAGCTGTCAATGTAGATATGTCAATTGGGCAATTGGAGATATGAGCCTGGAACCTCAGGAGGAAGATCTCCTGACAGATGGGTTTGGGAGAACTCAGCACACATAAATGGTATTTGAATCCATGGGTGTAGATGAAGTTAGAGGACAAGAGAGATAAGGAAGGACCCCTAAGAAATAACAGCATTGAAAGATGGTCTGAAGACAAGGAACCTGAGGGAAAACTGAGAAGTGGCCAGAGGCAAGCTAGGAGAGCCAGGGGTGTGGAAACCCAAGAGGCCCTCTTCCTGGTGGAAGAGATGCACCCAACTCTCACTCAGGTTCACACAGAGCAGAATGGCATGCCTTGACCTCAGTGAAAGTTCAAACCCATCTAGGCAGGCTCAGGCTCTCTACCTCTAACCCAGCATCCTCTGCCTCTTAAGAGGGCAGTGGGTCATTCAGAATTCTGTCATAATTCCTCCCATAATAGAAACCCAGAGCAAAATTAGCATACCATTTTCTTCAAGAGATGAGATATGCTATGTCTTTATAAAGCTTGTCTAACACATTCTGTTATGACTAAATAAAGATAGATAAAACCCAGAATGGAAAGAAACATAAGACATTAAAAAGTGATTATTTCTGAAATGTAGTTCAAGAATGGTTTGTATTTTTGTCTTTATTCTTTCCTATATTTTCCTCAGTATGCAGAACATGTGAAATCTGAAAAGGAATCTTTTAAGTTATTTTTACATGGGAAAGCCTGAAATACAGACTGAACAACTATCGAACTGTTTTAAATGAACAATTTACCAAAGGCAGACTATCCATATTGGAAACATGTAGAGATCTGGCAAGTGATCTAGGTTGTCAAATGTCTTGATTTTTTTTTTTTTTAACCACTTTGTATTAGTTCATTTTCACACTGCTGATAAAGACATACCAAGACTGGGAAGAAAAAGAGGTTTGAAAGACTTATAGTTCTACATGGCTGGGGAGGCCTCATAATCATGGCGGAAGGCAAGGAGGAGCAAGTCACATCTTACATGGATGACAGCAGACAAAGAGAGAGCTTGTGCAGGGAAACTCCTCTTTATAAAACAATCAGATTTCATGGGACTTACTCACTATCATGAGAACAGCATGCGAAAGACCTGCCCCCACGAGTCAGTTACCTCCAACTTGGTCCCTTCCACGACATGAAGGAATTGTGGGAGTTACAATTCAAGATGAGATTTAGGCAGGGACACAGCAAAATGCTATCACATTTATATTATAAATCCAGGTTTGGAAAATAATGATCCATATAGAATATCTGAAAACAGGCCATTGTATATTCAGAAAATCCGCTGCAGCCTCTTGGAGAATATACTTTTTGGTTCTGTGTAAAACTTCGCCAGGATAAATATCAAGGCCACCACATACAGCTGTGCAGGTTGTGCACTGAACAACTCCAGGGGCAGGGGATCTTTTTACTTAGAATGCAATATAAATGGTGTCCTGTAGAGTTCAGCAGTGCACAACCTACCTAAACAAAAAAGGAGTAAACCTACTAATGACTGAATGGCATTTTAAAGACCTAGCCCACTACCTGCCAAAATGTTAACTTATTAATAGAATACCTTACTGAAGATTTGACTATGAAAAATTACAAACTTACAAAGTGCTCCAAAGGTAAGCAGTGTAGGAAATTTTGTTAAATGTTTACTATTGTCATGGAATATTATGATAAAACTTTGTAATTTTTATAAAAAGGATAACTAGTTACACTTTTTGTTTTATTCACTAAGGGCTAGTTTCAGTTTCCAAGAAAAGTGTGTCCTATGTGGTAAGCAAGGAGGGAGGTGGAAACATCTCTGTCATTGTCCTTGGGGGTGCAAAGGAATCACTGGATGCCCATCCTGGAAAGTCCACTCTGTTCATCCGCCAGCGGAAAGGATTTGTTAAAATTGCTTTGACCCATGGGTAAGTGGCTTTTTATTTTTTTTTTAATAAAGTAGTGGGTCAGCAAAGTAAAGGCATTATTAAACAAACCACGAAGAAGTAAGGTGATTTTCTAGCCCTTAAAGACCTCCTCCAAATCCATCTGACAGTAAAAGCAGGTGTGGATGTTCTTGGGGAATGGAATATGACCTTTTTACTACAGTAGCTCAATGCCATGACATTCAGCAATTTAACTTAACTCTAAAAGCAAAACAACGAGAACAACAACAAACACCAACATTCTATACACACAGTGTAATTTTCCAGCCAACTCAACAGTGGCCAAAGCTATAGATAAAAGAGAAGCTTCCTGGAACCCTAATTTTCTATAGAATAAAATCCCATTAATGGCTACCCTGCTGAAATTCCTCCCTAAAGAATGTCAAGTTTCAATGAATGTGAAGTTAGCAATACAGGAAGACTTGGGCACATTTAAAAAATTTTTCAGAATTTGTTGCAAGAGTCAGCTAAACAGAATAAATTATTTGAATCCTTTTCATTGAATATTCTCACCCGTCCCCTTTGTTGTTGCAGTACCTCTCTGGTCCCAGTGTTTTCTTTTGGTGAAAATGAACTGTTTAAACAAGTTGACAACCCCAAAGGCTCATGGATTAGAACTGTTCAAGATAAACTACAGAAGATCATGGGGTTTGCTTTGCCCCTGTTTCATGCCAGGGGAGTTTTTCAGTACAATTTTGGCCTAATGCCCTATAGGAAAGCCATCCACACTGTTGGTATGTACATAAAATGACTACAATTATTAGCTTACTTTAAGCAATGTTTCTTGTTATTGATCGAGATGCTAATGCAAGGGAAGTGGCTTTGAGTAAGAACTTCCTGAAATAATAATCCTGTAGATGTCATTTGAGTTTTGTTGCTGGTATTCCTTTGATTTATGAAATGACTACATTTTCCACTAGAATAGGAATTGATTACTTTCGAGAATACTGCTATTGAATTACAAGTGAAATCCAATTTTCAAAATACAGTTTCTAATACTCTATAATGAATCTATTTCTCTGTGCCAGCCGATTATAATATAGCAATTCTCTGATGACAAGTTATACCATAGTTTATGGATAGATGAAAATTTCTGTGTGATAAGTGTCCTTATTATGTTCAGTTCACATAGGCATCAGTTTCTATAGCAAAAGCTTTTTTTTTTTTTTTTGCAGGTAGCTATTGTATATATATTCTGCTATTCTGCTATAGATTCATTTTATTTTTTTTTATTTCCATAGGTTTTTGGGAAAGAGGTGGTATTTGGTTACATGAATAAGTTCTTTAGTGGTGATTTCTGAGATTTTGGTGTACCCATCACCGCAGCAGTGTATACTCTACCCAATATGTAGTCTTTTATTCCTCACCCCTCTCCTGCTCTTTCCCCCGAGTCCCCAAAGTCCATTGTATCATTCTTAATGCCTTTGTGTCCTCATAACTTAGCTTCCACTTATGAGTGAGAACATACGACGTTTGGTTTTCCATTCCTGAATTACTGCACTTAGAATAGTGGTTTCCAATTCCATCCAGGTTGCTGCAAATATCATTATTTCATTACTTCTTATGGCTAAGTAGTAGTCCATGGTGTTTATATATATATATATATATATATATATATATATATATATATATGGTGTTTATATATATAAACACCATGGGGTGTGTGTGTGTGTGTGTATGTATATTGTGTGTGTGTGTATATATATTTTTTATATATATATAAAAAACAATTTCCTTATCCACTCAATGGCTGATGGGCATTTGGGCTGGTTCCATATTTTTGCAATTGCAAATTGTGCTGCTATAAACATGTGTGTGCAAGTATATTTTTCGTATAATGACTTCTTTCCCTCTGGGTAAATACCCAGTAGTGGGATTGCTAGATCAAATGATAGTTCTACTTTTAATTCTTTAAGGAATCTCTACAGTTTTCCCTAGTGGTTGTACTAGTTTATATTCCTACCATTAGTTTGAAAGTGTTCCCTTTTCACTACATCCACACCAACATCTATGATTTTTTGAATTTTTGATTATGGCCATTCTTGCAGGAGTAAGGTGGTATTGCATTATGATTTTGATTTGCATTTCCCTGATCATTAGTGATGTTGAGCATTTTTTCATGTTTGTTGGCCATTTGCATCTCTTCTTTTCAGAATTATCTATTCATTTCCTTAGCCCACTTTTTGATGGGATTGTTTGTTGTATTCTTGCTGATTGTTTGCATTCCTTGTCAATTCTGCTGTTAGACTCATTTTAGTTTAAAAAGCTGCATGTTTGGGAGAATCCAGTTGAGGGAGGAGGGTGAAGACCATGTTGATAAAAATACTGAGGAGTTGGCGAAGTGACCATGTTGATAAAAATACTGAGGAGTTGGTCAAGTGTGGTGGCACACACCTGTAATCCCAGCACTTTGGGAGGCTGAAACAGGAGGAATGCCTGAGCCCAGAAGTTCGAGACCAGACTGACAACAAAGCTGGACCTCATCTCTACTAAAAATTTTAAAAATTAGCAGGACACCATGGCATGTGCTTGTAATCCCAGTGCTTTGGGAGGCTGTGGCAGGAGGAGCACTTGAGCCCAGGAGTTGGAGGTTGGAGTGAGCTATGATTGCACCACGACACTATAGCTTGGATGACAGAGCAAGACCATATCTCTCAAAAACAAAAACAAAAACCCAGGAGCAAAGTATTTAGCTCCTCAGATGGGAAGAGGATTGGAGAGCTAAAATGAGAAAGTGCTGAGCCAGGCACTAATGGCAGAATTACTAAAACTATAAACTTATTATGAAACTGGAAGTAATATGTTCACCATTAAGTAAAATTGAAATATAGTCAAATATTGTTTTAGGTCTGTTTCACTAGGCTAGGATTTTACTACCATCAGTTTATAAGTGCTTGCCATTTAATGTGCAATCACATGACTTTTTTTTCACAGTATTTACATTTATTATTATTAAATCTTAAGTATCTGAAAGGCATAAATAAGGGTCAAATGGAAGAAAATAGGAACTGAAATCAAACTATTATAGATGCATGTGAAGAGTGACTGTTTTTCTGTTTTCCAATCTCTCTGAAGGGAATATGGAGGAGAGTAATTCTGATATGGAACTGAATTGGGGATATATTTCTTTCCTGGGAAAAATTCCTATGGAAGGGAGACAATCAGAATTTTTTTTTTCTTTTTTTTTTTTTGAGATGGAGTTTCGCTCTTGTTACCCAGACTGGAGTGCACTGGCATGATCTGCAACCTCTACCTCCTGGGTTCAAGCGATTCTCCTGCCTCAGCCTCCCTAGTAACTGGGATTACAGGCACCCGCCACTACACTCAGCTAATTTCTTGTATTTTTAGTAGAGACAGGATTTCACTATGTTGGCCAGGCTGGTCTCGAACTCTTGACCTCAGGCAATCCATCTACCTCAGCCTCCCAAAATGCTGGGATTACAGGCGTGAGCCACCGCACCTGGCTTCAGAATCCTTTTTTTGTCCTTCAGGTCAGATGGGTAAAGTGCTGATGTTGTAACAAGGTTCAGAGGGTGGTACATCTCACAAGTGCCCGTGAGCACCCAGTCGTCATGCTCATGAATTATAAAACCGAATTATCAGACTCTTTTTTTTTTTTTTTGCTCAGGCTGGAGTGCAGTGGCAGGATCTCAGTTCACTGCAAGCTCCGCCTCCCAGGTTCATGCCATTCTCCTGCCTCAGCCTCCTGAGTGGCTGGGACTACAGGCGCCACCACCACTCCCAGCTACTTTTTGTATTTTTAGTAGAGATGGGGTTTCACTATGTTAGCCAGGATGGTCTCGATCTCCTGACCTCGTGATCCGCCCGCCTTGGCCTCCCAAAGTGCTGGGATTACAGGCCTGAGCCACCGTGCCCGGCCCGAATTATCAGACTCTTAATGGACACAGGAACTTATGTTTATAAGACACTGAGATTCTTATAACAAGAGACATCCCCGTAGGGAAGCAGGCCATAGACATAGCAGATGAGGTCTTTAGTGAGAGATTGGAAAATGAATAGTATGACCTGAAACAAAATAAAGATTCCTTGTGCCTTTGGTGGCACAATCTGGGGAGCGATTGCTAACTTCTCATGAACTACTTGACTGTCAGGACAAAAGATGTTACTTCCATGTATTTCCTCTACTTCAAAAAGTTTCTCAATCCCCCAGGTGTAAGGATGACATGGAAACAGGGAGGTAACACTAGATGTTGAGAAGAAAGAAAGCTAAATGTTATCTCTAAGCCAAGAAGGTAGATGACATTATGGATTTCTGAGGCTGGTTGGCGGCATATGAATAGGACTTCTTGTGACTGATAAATATGTGTATGGACCCTATCTCTGAAATGCTGATGATCCTGAACAGGAGACATGAGAATCCATCTTGTACTAGTCAGAGAGATGGTCTTTCATGATTATGTCCCATTTCCCAATGTCTCAAGTAGCTCTTACATTGACCTCACTTACCTGCTCTGTTGTTGGTAGTTGCAGCTGGAGAATCAATCACCTTCACCTAATGATTCAGGGAGGTTAATGGAGGGTCTCTGGCTTCACCATTTGCCACCCTCCTCTCACCATACCACCTCAACTCTCAGCAGTTCTTTGAGAAAGCCTTTCTATTGAGGATGGTCACACAGCCTCTGCTTCTTAGGGTGGTACAACCTATTATAATATCAAAGAGTTCAGAAGAGTAAGGAGTTCCATCCTTCCAGAGTCAGGCCTTGCCATTGCCCAGGTAGAAGAGCCCTGTCCGATAAGAGTAGAAAAACTCAGAGGAGCTTTGAGGCACGGCAAACTCCAGCATTTCTTGTGTGTTTATCTCTGGATGGTAGAGTTCTTAGCAATGCAGATATATTTACATTTTTGCCAATTTTTGCTGTCTTTTTTTTTTTTAAGACTGAGTCTCACTCTGTCACCAGGCTGGAGTGCAGTGGCACGATCTCTGCTCACTGCAACCTCCACCTCCCAAGTTCAAGCAATTCTCCTGCCTCAGGCTCCCAAGTAGCTGGGACTACAGGCTTGCGCCACCACGCCCAGCTGATTTTTGTATTTTTAGTACAGACGGGGTTTCATCATGTTGGCCAGAACAGTCTCGATCACTTGACCTCGTGATCCACCCACCTCAGTCTCCCAAAGTGCTGGGATTACAGGCATAATCCCACCTCTCCCGGACAACTTTTGCTATTTTTATAGAACTGGTAGCCATTGTCCCTATACACCTTCTATTTTTCTGGACATGGGTTGCACCTGTGTACTCCAGCTTTACTGCAGAGTTCATGACAGTTTTTCAGCCACATGATTCAGACTTTCTTCAAGCTTCATGTTCTGGGCTTGAGGAGATTTTACCTGTTGGGAGATATTTCTCAATATTCCTTCCTTTTGCGAGATGGTGTCTTGCTGAGTATTCGAGGGCTGGTGTTAACTGAAAAACTGGAGCAGAAATGGATTTCACATGACCTTATTCTTAAATGCTGTATTTAATGCAATGGAATGTTAACAGGCTTGATCAGTTAGGGTAATGGGAATATTGAGATAAATTTAAGTTTGCAATGGTATTGTTCAAGATAAGCTGGTTACTTTTTTGGTATAATATTCATTAATCATTTTTGATCTTTTATGTGCTAAGTACTATTGTTAGCTTTGGGGATGATATAAAGGAAATTGTAAGGCATGATATTAGGAACTAAAAGTTTAATGAAATGCAATCATATGCTCAGATGAAATAAGCTGTTGATGCTGAAAGCAAGTGCAGTCTGTTGACTTAAATGATTGCACTTGTCAGCTGGTCAAGCTTTTTTTTCTTTTTTTTTTAATTGTTTGCCATTTGATATCGCCCAGTTACACCTCTACTGACAAATAATCATCAGTCAGGGGTCGAATGGAATGACTGAATCAGAATTAGTTGTCAAGACTGGAAAACTGCAACTCTGTTAACTTGTTTTCACTTATACTTGTCCAATGTGCTTCTCTTAAACATTCAGAAAGGGGAAAATTGCTTCAGTCCCTCCCTCTACTTACCCTACAAACAGTTACGATGATTATTAGTCTGTATCATCCTCAGTATCCCGTTGTTGTTTAAAACATTTAAAAACCCAAGCTAAGAAGATGTTTCATATGTGCTTCATACTCAGCTGCTATGATCTTAAGGTATAAGAACGGGAGCCAGTAATGTAGAGCATCTCGATTTGTGTGAACCAGACCCTCAAGACTGTATTTAAAGACTTTTATTTACTTGAAGAAACACAAGTGGAGGATAGAACATTTACAATTCCATAAAAAAGTAAAGCCATGTGTCAATCAAATGCCACAGAGAATAAAACACAATATGAGGCTGAAACAGTGATGTCAATGACTGTGTTCATTTCTGTTTTAAATCATGCACTTGAAATGCAGTGTGGCTTCACTGCTGTCTCCCCAACGTGAGTTCTTCGTGTCCTACCCCAGGAAGAATTCAGGCAGCATCTCAGAGCGGCAAGTTATTTTGTGGTCCCTGTGCTCCCTCTCCTACTTTATTAACTTAAGTAAGCTCTACCTTACATCATAAGATAAACCTCAACTCACTCAGTATTAGTTGGATTCATCCTAAATTATCACCTTAGCTACAATCCTCTCACAGGTGTCCAGAGAAGCCTGGATTCTCCATCCTTTAATAGTTTCCCACGGCCGGCTGCGGTGGCTCACGCCTGTAATCCCGGCACTTTGGGAGGCCGAGGTGGGCGGATCATGGGGTCAGGAGATGGAGACCATCCTGGCTAACACAGTGAAACCCCGTCTCTACTAAAAAATATTAAAAAATTAGCCGGGCATGGTGGCGGACACCTGTAGTCCCAGCTACTCAGGAGGCTGAGGCAGGAGAATGGCGTGAACCCAGGAGGAGGAGCTTGCAGTGAGCTGAGATCCGGCCGCTGCACTCCAGCCTGGGCGACAGAGCGAGACTCTGTCTCAAAAAATTAAATAAATAAATAAATAAATAAATAAATAAATAAATAAAATGGTTTCCCACGCACTTTTTACAACAGTATCCTCAGTGAGCATAACCGGAGTGTTTGTTCATTTCAGCTTTAGAGATTCTCACTATCACTGTGATTGTTTTGTCTGTTAATGTCCTAGTCATTAAATCCTCTGAAAAATGTGTTCTTACTAAATGCAAAGTGACATATTCAGGTCACAGTTACCCTCTCTACATATTTTTTTATGCCATATCTTGTTTCTATGCATCCTCCATCAAAATCCTCTCTTCCCTGCTAAGGAACATTCTCAATGTGCATAATTTGTAAAGAAGCTCTTACTGTATACATTTTCCTTACACACTTCAGAAATAGTATGCAATTTATGTGTTTTTTGAATGCTATTATCACTATATCATACTATAATAAAATAGTCACTGATACTATATTCATTATATAATTGAGAAAAACTGATTTAAATGTCACATCCATCAGGATTACCAGGAAAGACAATTTAAATAAATTTAGACTTTCAGAAAAACATGTAAAGCATTGAAGTTCCTTGGAGGAACATTGCATTTTCTGTTTCCGTATCACAGAGCCCCACGAGGACAGGGATTTCGGCTTATCTGTTTTCTGTGTGTTCCTAGTACCCACAGAGTAGAAGCTCAAGAAACACTTGTGCGTAAACAAATTAGGCTTTCATTAGGCCTGTTTCACTGTAATTTTTTTTTTTTTTTTTTTTTGACAGGAGTCTCGCTCTGTCACCCAGGCTGGAGTGCAGTGGCGCAATCTTGGCTCACTGCAACCTCTGCCTCCTGGGTTCAAGCGATTCTCCTGCCTCAGTCTCCCAAGTAGCTGGGACTACAGGCACCCACCACCAGGCCTGGCTAATTTTTGTATTTTTAGTAGAGACGAGGGTTCACTGTGTTGGCCAGGATGGTCTCGAACTCCTGACCTCAGGTGATCCACCCACCTCGGCCTCCCGAAGTGCTGGGATTACAGGTGTGAGCCACCCACCCCGGCCCCATTTTCTCTTCATTATTAACAAATAACCTGGGGATAGTGGTACTTAGAGAAGTGTAAAATTATCCCATCTCTCATCACATTTTACTTGATGACTTTAATACCCATTGATAACTCGTGCCTAAATCAGTGCTTGCCGTCATGGTTGCAAACTGGCGAATTTCTAATTCCAGCATTCCTTCTATATTAATTAGTTGACATTTTGCCATAAAGAAGGGCTTTCCCTCCTCCCAATGTTAGATTCATCAAATTATAGACGCGCAGACAGGCTCATCAACTATTTCTGCTTGTGGCACAGAAAGGGCCCCCATCCCATCTCTTCCAGCCACAAGGCTCTCATTGAGTCATATTAACCCCTGAGCCCATCTTCTAATTATGGATGTGATATTTTATTTTTATTCTTTTGACAGCATTGGAAAAATACAAAAATACAAGTAAGAAGTGGGTTCCCTTGCCTCTGTAAGTGTCATAAAATTTTAAAAAGAAAGAGGCCGGGCACAGTGGCTCACACCTGTAACCCCAGCACTTTGGGAGGCCAGCACAGGCAGATTACCTGAGGTTAGGAGTTCGAGACCAGGCTGGCCAACATGGTGAAACCCCATCTCTACTACAAATTACAGAAAT